AGTAAACGTGGAGACATGGAATGTCTGAACCATGTGTGAACCCAGTAAGGCAGTCCAGATTACAAACGAGATGAGGAGGTATCACATTGAAGTGCTTGGAATCTGCGGGGAATCTGCAGATGGAATGGGAGTGGATTCTCCAAACTGTCTGTCAACTGGAGAATCAATAATTTACTCCGACATTGTCACCCAGACGACAACCACGAGCACAGCACACTGAGTTATGAAGTGGTTACCATCATGTCCCCAACAGCATCGAAGGCTCTTTCTCTCTCTCTCTCTCTCCCTCTTGCAGTGGGAACCAATCTCATCCACGATCAGGATGATGACAGCAAGGTTCAACTCAAAAGGAAGGAAGGAAGGAAGGTCACAATCATACAATGCTACACTGTGCACCTACAAATAATGCAGATGTAGAGAAGGAGGAGGAGGAATTCTACAGACAACTTCAATCAACACTGGAAAAGACACTGCATCAGTTGGCGATATCGAAATTCTGATGGGCGAGGTGACATGAATGCCAAACTGGGAGCAGACAACAGAGGAAGAGAACAAACCATGGGTGGAGAAGTGCTCGGTGAGGTGAAATGAACGAGAATGGAGAATTGTTTGCAGAATTGTGTGCATTCAACGATTTGTTGATTGCAGTGAGGCAGTGTGTTCAAGCACAAGGATATCGACAAAGTGAGCGACATGCATTTGATTTCACCAGACACCAGGACACACTACACTAAATATCAGATCGACCTTATCTTAATGTGAAGCAAGTGGAGACGCAGCCAGCCTACTTGACGCTAGGTGAGTAAGAGGAGCAGATGTATGTTCAGACCACTCACTGTCTAGTGCAAGGAACCTAACTTCCAAATCAAGTTGAAAGCCTTCAAGGAAGCTGGTGATAGACGACAGTTGAAGTACAACACTCGGAAACTGAAGGACGAAACTACAAAGGAAATTTTCACGTAAGTCAGCCATCAAGACAAGATGTGAGATATCGAGGAACATCACTGAAGAAACCTGTGTGGAAGAACATTGGAAATCTTTGAAAGAGATGTGGAAAGGAACCTGCATAATCGTATTAGCACGGAAGGAGAAAGAAGATAATGAATGGATCTCGACGGATACATGGAAGCAGATACAACAGGGAGAGGAGGATGGTGAAGCAGAAGATAAACCAGTGCAAGGATGCTCAATGACGAGAAGAGGAACTGAGTACACTGTATAAAACACTACACTGGACAGAGAAGTGAAGAAGAGTGCGCGCAAAGACAAAAGACACTTTCACGATACATTGGCAAGTGAAGCAGAACAGACTGCAGGTAGGAGACACCTGGTAACATTGTATCAAATAACCAGGTTACTATCTGGTAGGGAAGAGATCAACGCAGACGAAACCAATAAAAGATGATGAAGGAAATGTAATTTCGAAAGAAAAGAAACAAAGGGAACAATGGGCTGACCACTTCAAGGAGCTCTTGAATCAACCACCACAACCACCTGCACTTCTCCCAGAAATAACACCTGCACACCAGCCACAGAACGTCAAGTGAACACAAGCCCTCCAACGAAAGTCGAAGTCCTCAACACCAAAATGCTACTGAAATGTGGGAAGCAGCAGGACCAGATGGAATCCCACCAGAAGCACTGAAAACAGACTCAGAGACAACAGTGGACATGCTCACACCACACCACTATTGCAGAAGGTGTGGAAGGAAGAGAAGGTATCTGCCAGTTGATTGGAAGAAGTATTACCTTGTCGAACTCTTGAAGAAGGGAGACCTCAGTGTTTGCCATAACTGGCGCGGAATCACTCTTCTGTCCACCCACAGCAAGCAAAATCTTGAGCCGCATCATCCTGGAGAGACTGAAGGATGCACTGGATTCAAATCTACAACCGGAACAGGCTGGCTGTCTGGCTGGCTGGCTGGATTCAGGAAGAACAAATCATGTGCGAACCAAATTGCAACGCTACACTACGCATCATCATAAAACAGAGTATAGAATGGCAGTCAACTCAACTCCACCTCAACTTTATCAACTTTGAGAAGGCCTTTGACAGCGTCGACCGAGAGGTAATTTGGAAACTGCTTGAATACTACGGAATACCGCAAACCGTTATCAGCCTCATTCAACAACTATATGAAGATGCCACATGCCAAGTGATTCACAATGGGAAGCTCAGCTTAGTGATGCTTTTGAAGTGAAGTGAAGACAGGAAGGAGTAAGATAAGGCTGTCTACTATCACTCATGATATTCCTGATTGTGGTCGACTGGAGTGGATCATGCAGCAAACAGTGAGGAGCGAGAAGCAGGGGATACGTCGGACTGCGGAAAACATCCTAGAAGATTTGGATTTCGCCAATGATGGCTTGTGCCTGATGTCACACAAACTTGAAGATCTACAGGCGAAAACTAACAAGTTGATAGAAGAGGTGAGTAGGGGCCGTGAAGACCAGAATTCCTTCTGGTGAGTATAGAGAAGATATAGGCCATGAAGATACCCAACAAACAATATCACTACCACCAACAACAACCAACTCCAATCAACATTAACAGGAGAAACTTAAGTGAAGTAACCTCATTCACCTATCTAGGCAGCACTGTTTCAACTGCAGGCGGCACTACTGAGGATGTCAAAGTCAGAATCGGAAAAGTGAGACAGGAGTTCATTAACCTGAAACCAGTGTGGAGATCGACTGCACTCCACTCCACTCAGCATGTGGAACAACATCCCGATTTTCAACACCAATCCAGTCAAGTAAGTCAGTGCTTCTGTATGATTCTTCAGACACTTGGCGCGTCACGAAATGCATCTCCAACAAACTACAGACATTCATCAACAACTGCCACCTACACTCACTCGATACTGCAGCTGAAGCTGAAGATGGAGATCAGATGGATGGGTAGAATAATAAGAATAAGCAACAAGGAACTGTGACTGGCTGGCTGGCTGGCTGGCAACGAACTAACGAAGCAACAACCTATCACTGAACAAATATGCAGTGGAAGGAAGTGGAGATGGATTGGATTGGATTGGATTGGGCATACACTGGGGAGGTCGACCGGGGACATGACGCGTCAGGTCAGGTCAAGCCAGGCCAGTTGCTCGAGTGGAACCCAGATGGGAATCGACGAGTTGGGCGTGTGTGCTGAGGGTGACATGGAGGAGATGGTGTGAGGAAGAAATGAGAGTTTGTGGGCAGTCGTGTAGCCATTTTCAAAGGATTGCAGAGAAGAGTGTGGAATAGAGACGTGGTACTGAATCCCTATGTTCTACTAGGAACCCAAGGGACAAATAATAATAATAATAATAATGTGTTATGTCAAATAAGCCAACATTATCTGTTAAGCGAAGACATTGGGAATATTATTCTGACGTAATGATATCATTTCACTCTTTCCTTACAGTTGTCTAATAAATATTATGGTGGATAAAGTAGTCTAGGGTAGAGAAAGGGTCACAATAATTCTGTTCCGAAAACATTTTTGAGGGACTCTTCAGGAGTGCACACCAAGGACCCCGTTAGGGGTCTAACTCAGGACTCATAAGTCTCGTGGGAAACACGCTATTCATTCAACCACTGAGTTAGAATCCGATAGTTCATATTTTCCTTTTTCTGTCAATTTCCAAAATAGTGTGACCGACATCTTATACGATATTTTCGAATATTTCCTCTCACAAATAGTTTACCTGACAGGTTACGTACGACTTCTCATTAGAACTCCATCTACAAACATTTCACAATTGAACAGTAGACGGTAATTCAGTTGGAAGGTATCAAGTCAACCTGTGATGAACACTACCTTTGAAAACAATAATGAATATTGAATTTGTAATCAGTTATCAATGAATACCTGGTTACAGATGATTTTGGATTGTTACTCATACGAAGTACAATTAATTTAATCATGTAATTTGATAGCAATTAAAAAAACGATTGCATGATTTTGTTAGTTTTAGCTGTATAAGTGTTCCTTCAACTGAAGATGAACTTCTAAATAAAATATAAAGTTGTTGTTTATTAATTAGCACGTTGAGAGAGGAAATTCCCTTTAGGTTGAATTAAGCGGAATAGAATAGAAATTATAACTGATAGCCAACTGAAACCTTAAAGCTGTTAATTTCATAATCTGGTCACCTTTAGAAGTAATATGTAATTATGCTGTAGCACAATACTATAGTCCTGCCTTTGCACTGATCTGTAATGAAACTTAAGTTAAAGTTGTATCACTTCCCATAAGAAAAACTTTTGTTGATTGTATAAGATCATAAATAACCTTTGGTTGGAATCTGGTGAAATCATTACCGTCTAATGAGGTTTTAATATTCAGTATTTCTGTAAGTGGTTCTATCAAGACGCCCTCCTAAGTACACGGTACATTATGAGATTCAACATTTATTTGATAGGTATGAAGTTGTAACAATCCATTTACGTTATTACTCTTTGTTGATATACTTTTAATTCTCCGTTGTTATACTGGATCGAATTGTTTCACCTGTGTTTGGATATTGGCTCTCATGAGAAGGCCTTGATATTGCCTGGATATTTATTATTATTTAGTTGGTTGTAGCTAGTGGAGGAATCCAGAATGCGTCAGTTACCATCTTATGCCTCAGTGGTCTAGTGGACAACGACCTGACGTTTTAAGCAATGAGTACAGGGTTCGAGTCTGGATGGGGACAATATCACTCATTGGGGTGTAGGTACATGCGGCTAACGAGTAGCAAAAGGGATGAATGGCACATCCTAAATTCCTCTACTAGCCACAAACAATTAAATCATAACCCACTTACGCTTCAACTAATCCTCTTATTCATCTAAAACTTCAAGCACTTATGTAATTTTAAGCCTAACTTGGTCTTCATAACGTGAATATTCAAATAATAAGTACACTAGAGAAAGAAAATGGATTAATTCTCTATTTCTGTTACATTACAATAACAATTCAATATGATTATTTTGTGAAACACAACTCATTGATATGTTTGTCTTATTCATAGGTCTCTATACAGCTTGGTTACTTCCAGCTGCTTTAGTTGGCATTTTCGTTTTCATCTATGGACTTGTAACTATGAATGACTACGTTCCAGTGTAAGAAATTATTAGATTAGTATTATATCTTATGATTATTATTGTTGTTTTGTGTTTGTATAGTGCCCTAATATAATTTCAACCATTTTGTTACTCTGAGTAATAAGTGAATTTTAGGTTACAGAAAGTAATTATAAACATGAGTGAAGGATACAAAACTTCTGTGAACTAGACAACATTTTCACAAACAGAAAAAATACTCTATTTCAAGAAGTATTCAAAACTAGAGAGAAATAGATTACTTTAATGACCTAGTATGAGAAATTCGTAATAATAAAACTACCTTCGAAATACCTGACTAAGAGTTCATATTCCCTTTTATTGGATAACTATTTTCTAATTTCAAGGCAATATTCATCATGGACTGACAGGAACTACGGAACCATCGAAAAACTGATGGCAATTGACAGCTGTTTTGACTAAATATGGATCGAATTCAAAACCCTCAGATTTCACGGTAGTTACTATTATTATTTATCTCTTGGGTTCCTAGTGGAACATAGGGGTTCAGAAGCATGTCACTATGTCACTGTTTTCTTTGCTGTCTTTTCAACCTGGTTCCACCACCGTCCAGCAACTTTTGTAGTTGTCGTCTGGGTGACAATATCGGAGTAGATTATTGATTCTCCAGTTGACAGACAGTTTGCAGAGTCCACTCCCACTCCATCTGCAGATTCCTCGCAGATTCCAAGCACTTCAATGTGATACCTCCTCATCTCGTTTGTAATCTGGTCTGCCTTGCTGGTTTCAAATGTGGTGCGGACACTCCATGTCCCCAAGTTTACTTTCGCTTTCATCGAGGGAGAGAAGACACATCGGCCAATTGGCTCCCCGAAGTCAGGCTTTCACCAACTGGTGTCATTTCGCCTCTTCGATTCCGGCGAAGAATAATTTCTTTATTAATTTTTGTATTTTGTGCTTTGAAGTTTCTTTAGCGATTGGATTTGTTTTGCGGTGTACGGTTGCTAGCCGTATGCCCAACCTTTCCATTTTAGCCGGGCTTATTACCGGCTAGTAACTAGTGAACTAGTTAACTAGGCTAGGTTGATTTCACGTTAAGCAAGTTACCAATGTGCCTATTGGTTCCGAATCCGATAGTTCATATTTTCCTACCTCTATTAATTCGCAATGTAGTACCAACTTCATCCAGTGCCGTCACTGAGTATTTTTTATCCCCTCCAACTTGGTTTTCTGTAGTGATCACAACTTCCCATTACAACTTCAGGAAATCTTATCTGAATAGTGAACACTGAACAATTGGTAATCATTACAAACTCATATCATTTGAAGAACGACTGGAAACCAAAAAAGGTAGCTCAGTGGTAACGTGCTAACTGTGAATATAGAAGTCCCTATGTCCAGTTGCTGGCGTGGTCATCAGTGTACACTGCTGAGGAGTTCCATACTTGGGCGTATAAGATGTCCAGTGCTTACAGTTTTTCACTGGTTCTCCAAGTGATATCGGTTTATGATGGATACTACCTTGAAGTCAATATATCTCCACAAACCTACAAACTGAGTATCTATTAGTCTGTTAGAGGCAGAAATATTGTCTATATTATTCTCTTTTTCATAAAGAAGTATGTCAGTAGACGGTAAATTACAATTTCATACACTTAGGGATACTTAGTGAAGTTGAATAACGCAATGAGAACGTTGTCAGTAGGACATGATGGGATATTATCAGTTGCATACAACCTAACGAGGAACATCTTAAGATGACGATTACTGTTTTGAAGAACACACAAATGCATTAGACTTCAGAATACAAAGAAGGTTTTACTTATAAAGTTCTAACAAATCATGGAGTTCAACGACAATTGTGTAATATCAACAAAATAAAACACACAAAGGTTACTATCATAATTCCTAAGGTAAGTTACACTACTCAAATAACCGGCATTTATGAGTACGCTGTGTTTATAATCTCATGGAGAAAATCTTGGTTAAAGATTGATTAATCAGTAGGTTTCGTAAGAAATTTGACCCAACAGTAACATTGAGTCAACTCCTATCATTCTGTGTTGACACTTACATGTTGAATGAAAAAAATACCGGAATTTTAATTTAGTTTATTAAAAGAATTCAATTTTAGATTTGTGTTATTTTGTACATGAACTCAACTGTTAAGTCAAGTTATTCAAACAATGAGGGTAACTTGAATGGTTACTTTCTGATGGATTACTACCCATGTGTCAGCAAAGCTTAACCAATACAGTTATTTCTTTCAACTCATTATAGAGAAACAGTAACTCATATTGAAGTAAGTGCTGATGATGTTGTCTAGAAAGATATTGAAAACTTCACGACTTAACGATCCAGCTAGAATCAGTTTGGTTAGTGACTCGTTTTGGTGATGATTATCAGCACAATGTAAAGTAAGTAGTAACCATGTGAAATAGTTCAAGTTATGCAATCCGATCTCAAAAGTTTATGTACCGTTAAGTAGTTGGGTTTTGCACCAGTGGATCTGTAGGCCCCCATATCAATTGTGGAAACAACCTTCGCATTCCTATGTTTCCATTGACTTTATTGAACCTTTTCATGAATTTTCATACAAATAGTTCAACAAGTCGGTGTTTAATTAGACTGTTCGAAATGAATGGTGCTAACACATCACATATTTCAGATAATCTTCATTTTTTCATTACGCTATTTGAAGCGAAATAATGTATTTGATAGAATGTTCTCATGAGTATACCTTCTCAGTAATCGATTACCTAGTAATAAAACTCTTTATCCGGCATGAATGTTTTCTAATGACATTGTAATTGGAGTAATTTCATACTAATTTAGTTGAATTAATGTTACTGTCTACTTGCTATGAGCCTTGTTTATGTAAATTAGATGTGTTAGATACACTTCAGACTCTACTGTAATACAAATACAAACCTCTTGTGGATACAAAGACTAGGGTTATTAACTCGAATTCCTACAGCTTCTACTGTGTGTAAAAGAAAAGTTCGGAAATCTTCTGAAAGATGAGGTAGTATGAGGTGAATAACCGTGAAAGTATTGTTCTTACCTAGCAAGTGATCACTGTCAACAAGGTGAGATAAAACAGAACTTCTGATGAATTTTATCCATCCCTTTACCAACCATGAAGATAGATGCTCAGCAACACGTCTATCAAGTTGTTTGACAGTAGGTCCTATATAGATTGCCCCATAGGAGCAGCTAAACTTGCAAGTGGACATTGAAATGGCAAAACTAGATATCTTATCTTTTGTCTTAGAAACAATATTTGATGCCTTGTAATTGACAGTTGTGTGCCGTAGAAAGTCCTCTTAATGACTCTAGAGAGTCTCTGATATAAAACTTCTCCGGTTACATCTCCATTCAATTGCAATTTCATGAACAATAGTTCCTTTCGTACGACAATAATTCTGGATTTGTTTCCCCAAGCTTTTTCCATGTTTCCTTTTATCAAACTATTACGATAGCCCATTTCGGTCAATGAATTACGAATATTCTCTAACTCCTTCAGCATTAAATCATTCGAAAATAGTCTTCTCACTCTGTTAATGAGCCATTTCACTAGGTTTTATTTATACCAAATGGGTACGTGTCTAAGAAAATGTGTGTACTGACCTAGGGAGTATAGTCTTCCTATAAACACATCTCCTGAGTGAACTGTGCCTTCCCTTCTACTTAGCAAGACATACAGAAAGTATAGTTTACTCACATTTTCTTCTTCACAAGTGAAAGTGAGTGCACCTGATTAAATTTTCTTAACACCTCGATTGTATCTACATTCTAATCTAAGATAACGAATGTGTCATCAATATAATGATGGTATACATTCATCTCATTAATCATATCTTTTAATTCTTCTTTCTCCAGTTTGGTAAGGAATATAACAACTAAAACAGGGCCAAGTGGTGAACCCATAGCTATCCCATAAGCCTGTCTATAATGTGAGCTATTGAAGATGAAATATAAATTTATAGTATATCTAAGAAGCAACTGATTGAGAATGTGTACTGGAATTCCGACAGTGATTTGACTTTTGCGAAACTTGTTTACACACAAACTCTAATGTCTCCAATGATGATACACTAGTGAATAGTTATGAGATATCAAGCAACATAATACGTTTTCCATTTACATTCACGTCCTCTAGCTAAGAAATAAATTCAGAGACGCCTTTTACACTGTAGTTAACTAATTCTTTCTGTAAAAAATCTAAAATTTTTACTATCCTTTATGTGATGATTTATCCAGTGCTTATTATTTATTAGTGTATTATACGATTTACATTTGGCTGATCATTTCCTGATATTCCTTTTCTATTTTATTGAAAAAAACTAGACGAGAAGCTTGTGAACAGGATATAGTTATGTGTCCAACTTGTGACATAAAACATGGTTGTCGATACTGGAACTTGAAAGAATTATGTTTCTATTTAAAGATTTCTTATCTATTCGACCATCCAGGCTCTGTATTTTATGCTATCTTCATTGTAATCTGGGGTAAGAATTCTGATGCGTATTGTAATTATTATTTCAACCTGCAATCTGCTTTGTGGCTAGCAGTGGAATATAGAGTGTATGTTTCGTCAGTTGGACGTGCATGCACCCCAGTGAGTGATGTTGTTCCCATTGAGACTGGACTCGAACGCTAAAGTGTTATCCACTAGGCCACTGCAGCACGAAAGCCATTTCTTGTGTAACCAGTATCAATTGTTGATTGATACTTATAATTTTTCGTTGTTATACTGCGTCCGATCGCTCTACCGCATCCACACAGTAGCCTATCTGGCAACAGAGGTCGAGGAATTCGATTCAGTATAGCAATGGGAGGTTACAAGTATCAATAAGCCTTATCGTTATTCCAACTTTTTAGCTAAACTGATGGATTCCAGTGTACAGTATCTTTTTTCGTAAATTAACACTAAATCGAAAATGAGTAATTCATTTTGAAGGTTTGTAGGGATTTATTGATT